ACAAGGTAACCAAAAATCAAAAAAATCTTACTTTATTTTACTTATTTGCAAATTGCGAACCCATGAACTTCCAAGAAGCAATGGAGAAGAAGACATGGAGAAACGCAATGGATGTAGAGATCAAGTCAATACAGAAGAATGAGACGTGGGATTTAGCTTCACTTCCAAATAGGCATAAGGAGATTGGTGTAAAGTGGGTGTACAAAGCGAAGAAGAACTCCAAAGGAGAAGTTGAAAGATACAAGGCAAGATTGGTGGCAAAGGGCTACAGTCAAAGAGCCGGAATCGACTATGACAAGGTATTTGCTCCTGCTGCTCGATTGGAAACAGTTAGACTAATCATTTCATTAGCAGCCCAAAAGAGGTGGAGGATGCATCAAATGGATGTCAAATCAGCCTTCTTAAATGGAGATCTTGAGGAAGAAGTTTACATCGAGCAACCACAAGGCTATATAATCAAAGGAGAAGAAGACAAAGTCTTGAGGTCAAAGAAGGCGCTGTATAGGTTGAAACAAGCACCAAGAGCTTGTAATACTTGAATTGATAAGTATTACAAGGAGAAAAACTTCATCAAGTGTCCATATGAGCATGCACTATATATCAAAACGCAGAACAGTGATATATTGATTGCATGCTTGTATGTAGATGACTTGATATTCACAGGCAACAATCCAAGTATGTTCGAGGAATTCAAGAAGGAGATGACGAAGGAATTCGAGATTACCGATATTGGATTGATGTCTTACTACCTTGGAATTGAAGTGAAATAAGAAGACAATGGAATCTTCATCACTTAAGAAGGTTATGCTATAGAGGTGCTGATATAAGATCAAGGGGTATGATCTTATAATGCTTGGGTGAATGGGTGGAAGCAAGCAGCTGGACTGAAGTTTCTTTCTACTTGCTCAAGAGATGATCGAAGTGGATGATTATGGGATCAATCCTGCTGGACTCAAGTCTCTTTCAGGCTGGATCAGTGGATGAGATGAATAGATGGGTAGATCGAAGAACGCTACTCAAGGGTGTGAAAGCCCCTGTGATGAATTCACAAACCTAGTCTCAAGGCATCGCACACAAAAGACATATATTCAAGTGTTAACTAAGTGAAGAATTCCATCTTGCTTAGATAAACAAAAACAAAGCCAAAGCTTTAGAGAAAAATCTCTTTTAATTTCTATATATTTTTTACAATGAGAACAATGAGCTTTTATAGCTTTTACAAAGAATCTTTACAATAAATTACATTTAATTTAAATTATTTACATTTAAACAAAAGGAAAAAAAATAAGCTTAATCAAATAATGTTCTTCTTGCCACCAATCTTGCTTTGGACTTGAATGAAAATCCTTTGACTTTATAAATCATGAAGAATATATTCTAATAATAATTCATATATTGATGACCCTTGATTTACTAATTTTTGATATTGTATCAAGTGCTGGAGAAGTTTAAGATGGATGACTCAAATCCAGCTTGTACACCATTGGAATGTGGAGCCAAGCTATCAAAACAAGAAAAAGGAGAGAGTGTGGATCCAACACTCTTTAAGAGTTTGGTTGGAAGTCTACGTTACTTAACGTACACAAGGCCTGACATCTTACATGTAGTTGGAGTTGTGAGCCGATACATGGAGCATCCAACAACCACTCATTTCAAGGCAGCTAAGATGATCCTTCGCTATATCAAAGGTACCATAGACTTTGGCTTGTATTACTCTACTTCTGATGATTACAAGCTTGTTGGATATAGCGATAATGACTAGGGTGGAGACATAGATGATCGGAAAAGCATAAGTGGTTTTGTGTTTTTCATTGGAGAAACTGCATTCACAGAGGTGTCAAAGAAGCAACCGATTGTCAACATTTCCACTTGTGAAGCGGAGTATGTAGCGGCTACTTCATGTGTTTGCCATGTTATTTGGTTGCGAAACTTATTAAATGAGTTGAATTTGCCACAAGAGGTTTGTGGACAACAACTCAGCAATAGCTTTGGCGAAGAATCTCGTCTTCCATGATCGAAGTAAGCACATCGACACTCGCTATCATTACATTAGAGAATGTGTCACCAAGATGGATATGCAGTTGGAGTACGTGAAGACTAACGATCAAGTAGCCGACATATTTACCAAGCCACTCAAGCGTGAAACTTTTATCAAGATGAGAAGTTTGCTTAGAATAGCAAAATCAAGTTTAAGAGGGAATGTTGAAAGGTAAACTTGATTTTGGATCAAGTTTAAATATTAGATCATTGATTCAATAATATTTGGACTAAACCCAATAATACTTGATCCAAGTTCTAAAGTTTTCTCTAAAAAATATCTCACATCTCCACCTTATTAAAATATTCCAAAGAATTATAAATAATTAATATCTAAAAAATAATCTAAATTAAAAACTAAAATATTTAATAGCACTCTTCTCTCTCATTTGTAATAAAAAATTAAAGAAAAAAATTAAAGAACTTAAATGAAGTTTTTAAATTTTCAAAGTTCTAAAAACATTTCTTCTTCTTCAAAATTATTCATTTATCTTTCAAGTTCTTAAACACATTCTCTATTACCTACACATTCTCTATTACCTATAAAAGTTCATTCTTGCCAACAACATCATTATTCAAAATTGATGATAACTAACTATTTACCCGCGCTACGCTGCGAGATATTTTTTCTAGATTTGTATATATTTTTAATATAATAAAATTATTTCTATAATATAAATGAGTATTATATTTATTTTTTATGAGCTTAAAATATGTATTTATATGTTTTAAATCTGAATAAACATTATATATCATTAATTTTTTTAATTTTTTAAAATTATAATCTACTATCAAATTTGTTTAGCTAACTATCTATAAATGTATATGTAAGAATAAAACAATACATTTTTAAGTACCTTCATGCTAATGGTAAATATAATTTATTTTCACTACTAAATTGCTACTTGATCCTCTTTTAAAATTATATAAAGCAAATTGCCATTTAAAAAATATTAATTAATATGATTATTTTAAACTATAAAATTTATTTGTTTATCAAATATTTATATAGACATATGTTTATAAAACTACCAAACTATAATTAATAACATTCATATCAAAATCATTACTATTACTTTTAAACTAAATAGAAAGTTCTATTTGAACTGTTGAAATATCAATTTAGTTGAAGTTAAATAATTCAATTTTGGTTACTATAAACATATTGTAACTTTGAAAATTAGCACAGAGAAATTTTATCATTTTACAAAAATCGAGAAATTGCATTTTCCGACAAAACAAAAAAAATATATTTTCCCACAAAACTAAGAAATCGTCTATTCCCGCCAAAACCAAAAAAATTCATTTTCTCGTCAAACCTGAAATTTTATTTTCCTACCAAAACAAAGAAATTACATTTTTCCTCAAAAACCAAAAAATCACATTTTCCCACGAGAACCTGTGCTTTCCCATCAAAACAGAGAAATCAAGTTTTTTCACCAAAACCAAAAAAATTCATCTTTCTGCAAAAACAAAAAAATAATATTTTCCCGTCAAAACCAAAAAGATATTTTTCCGCAAAAATCGTCTATTCCCACCAAAACAAGAAAAACTTATTTTTCTCATCAAATCAAGAATCACGTCTTCCTACCAAAACCGATAAACTACAATTTTCCGTGAAAACCAAAAACTGCATTATCTCATGAGAAATTGCGTTTCCCGCAAAAACTAAGAAATTATATTTTCCCTCGAAAACCAAAAAATCAAATTATATGTCAAAAACTGAATTTTGCATTTCTCATCAAAACCAAGAAATTGTTTATTCCCGCCAAAATCGAGAAACTTTGCTTTTCTATCAATCCGAAAAATTACATTTTCTGCCAAAATTGTCAAATTACAATTTTTCCGCAAAAATCAAGAAATTATATTATATATCAAAAGTTGAAAATTTGCATTTTCTATCAAAACCGGAAAATTGTATTTTTTGTCAAAATTGAAAAGTTGCATTTCTCTCGCATTTTCTCGTCAAAATCAAATTTTTTATTTGTCACCAAAACCAAAAATTCACATTTTTACGCCAAACCCGAGAATTCGCTTTTTTCCGCCATAACCGAGAAACTATGTTTTCCTACCAAAACTGAAAATCACATTTTTCTACCAAAACCAAGAAATTCTCTATTTCCGCCAAACCCAAAAAAATTTGTTCTCAGTAACCAGTGGAAATGCGAATCTCCAAGCTGTGGTGGTCTGAGTTTCTCCTCATTTGCTTTCGCCTTAAATTTGTTTTTTGTAAACTTTGGGCTTTTTAATGGGTCAGCAAAATAGTAAATTGATTTTATTAGTGTGTTAATAATATGTATTATTGTTATGTTTTTACTGGTTCAAATTTTTGCTGATATGTGAGCTTCTTATAACATAACGCTTTTTGCATTGTTGTTATGGAAGCATAGTTGATGATGAATCTACACTTTCTTCAATCATATACGTATCTATCAAGCAAACACATAGGTAAAAATTTTAATTTTTTTGCTGTTATTTATTATTTGAGTTTTGGTTTGACAGAAATATAAAACAAAGATTTAATTTTATTAGTTGTTGTTATTTATTATTTGAGTTTGACAAAAAAATAAAACAATTTTTTTTATTTGCTGTTATTTATTATTTGAGTTTGGGCTTGATCAGAAATTAAAACTAAAATTAACAATAAAAATATTTGGGTTTTTAAATTTAAAAGTTAAAATATATTAATGACTTATATTAATAAAATGTTTTTATTAGTATTTTTTTTTGCTGAAGTGTCATCTCCTAAAAGCTTGAAAATGCTGATGTGTCAAGTCATGGAGATACTTATGGATTATTATTCCGGTTTTTTCTTTGCTGGTCGAGAGAAATTGGTAAATGCTCCGGTCTGGTTTTCTCATTGGAAAAGTTCAAACCGGTTAAGGCCTTCTCAAAAATTGCCGCTTGCACGAATCTCTCATGTCACAACAACACCTGAGCAACAAGCAGCAACAACAACAACAATGGCGAATTTCGCGTCTGCAAATCGAGAAGCCCTGATTGCACAAAGCATCTGTGGAGCTGTGTTGAAGGGAAACTGGAGAAATATCCTCAAACACAAAATCGATTCGGGATTATTAACATCAGCGATAACCACACAGGTAATCTCCGAGCTTTCTTCGTGTTCTGGCTATGGTGGACCTTCTCTTTCATGGAGTTTCTTCACCTGGACGGATTCGTTTCCTACCTCTAAACACAGCTTACAATCATCCTGGAAAATGATCCTGATCCTTACAAAACACAAACATTTCAAAACCGCACACCACCTGCTCGATAAATTGTCACAGAGAGAGCTTTTGTCATCTCCTCTGGTTTTAAGATCTTTGCTTGGAGGTGTTTCTGAAGATCCCGAAGTTCTCTCTCACGTTTTCAGCTGGTTAATAATATCCTACGCTAAATCTGGAATGATCAACGATTCGATTGAGGTTTTCGAGCAGATCAAGAACTGCGGATTGAAACCTCATTTGCAAGCTTGTACTGTGTTACTGAACAGTCTAGTGAAACAGAGATTGACTGATTCAGTTTTCAAGATTTTCAAGAAGATGGTGAAGCTAGGTGTTGTGGCTAACATCCATTTGTACAACGTATTGGTTCACGCTTGTTCTAAATCCGGAGATCCTGAGAAAGCCGAGAAACTGTTGAGCGAGATGGAAGAGAAAGGCGTGTTTCCGGATCTTTTCACCTACAACACGCTTATCTCCGTGTACTGCAGAAAAAGTATGCATTTCGAGGCTTTATCAGTGCAAGACAGGATGCAGAGAAGCGGTGTAGCTCCTGATATCGTCACCTATAACTCGCTGATACACGGGTTTAGTAGAGAAGGGAGAATGAGAGAAGCGACGAGGATGTTTCGGGAGATCAAGGGCGTTGTTACCGCGAACCATGTGACTTACACTACTTTGATTGATGGGTATTGTAGAATGAATGATATAGATGAAGCTTTGAGGCTAAGGGAAGTAATGGAATCGAGAGGTTTTGTTCCTGGTGTTGTGACTTATAACTCGATTCTTCGGAAGCTTTGTGAAGATGGGAGAATCAGAGAAGCTAATAGGCTTTTGAGTGAGATGAGTGAGAAGAAGATAGAGCCTGATAATATCACTTGTAATACTTTGATCAACGCGTATTGTAAAGTGGGAGACATGGTTTCTGCAGTGAAAGTGAAGAAGAAGATGGTTGATTCAGGGCTGAAACTGGATATGTATTCGTATAAAGCATTGATTCACGGGTTTTGTAAAGTTCTGGAACTTGATAATGCGAAGCAGGAGATGTTCTCTATGGTAGAGAAAGGCTTATCTCCTGGATATTCGGTTTTTTCTTGGCTCGTGGATGGATTGTATAACCAGAACAAGATAGACGAAATTGTGAAACTTCCAGAGGAGTTTGAGAACAGAGGTCTTTGTGTAGATGTTGCTGTATACAGAGGATTGATAAGAAGGGTTTGTAAGTTTGAACGTGTGGATTACGCCAAAGTGTTGTGTGATTCAATGGAGAAGAAGGGTGTAATGGGAGATAGCGTTATATACACAAGCATGGCGTATGCGTGTTGGAGAACAGGGAAGGTCACCGAAGCTTCTGCGTTGTTCGATGTGATGTATAATCGACGGTTGATGGTGAATTTGAAGCTGTATAAATCTCTTAGTGCCTCTTACGCTGGTGATAACGAAGTGTTGAGATTCTTTTGGAGTCATGTAGGTGATAGATGTCTTATATCCAAGAGTATTTTACGGGAAATGAACAGAAGCGAGGTCTTGTGAAGTTACTACTTGTATAAGCTCAGTGCTGATCATAATCAATGTTGAAATATTTAGGCAGGGTATGAGTTTCTTGGATCGTAGTTGAGAAAAACTTGTGTTGTCTTACTATTTTTGAAGAATCAAACTCAAACTTTCATGTTTTTAAGAGAGTTTGACTTTCCTCTGTTGAGCAATGTCGTAAATAAGATAGTACATGTTAAAGTTTTCAAATTGTTTTTCTTTTGTTTTTTTATCAAAAAGTTTTCACTGATGCTAGGTTTGCTAGTTTCTACTAGCTGCTTAAACATTAAAACTTAATAAAATAAAAATTGAAAAGAGAGAGAAGAAGAAACCTCAATCATTTGAGAGTTCTCTAGATAGGTGAAAAAACTCTATTTTCACATATCGATTTATAGTTAGTTTAATGGAAAAATTTAGTAAATGGTCCAAAATAATCTGATAATTAGAAAAGTGGAACCAATAATTAAAATTTAGAATGATACATATTATATATATAAATTATGATTATTTTGTTCCTAAACTTATTTGATGCGGTTTGGATGGTTAACAACTTGATTATCATACTAATTAATATATTGTTATGTTAACTGTGTTGACTGTGCTAACTAATATGATACTCGATTAGTATATTATATAAATATCGCGTTAACTTTATTAACTGTATAAGTTATGCAAAATTATCATGTTAACAATGATATCATATCAAAAAACTATCATACTAACATTGTGAGTCTGATAACTATCGTGTTAAAAATGTTATCATATCAAAAAATTATCATACTAACATTGTGAGCATGATAACTATCGTGTTAACATTGATATCATCATCTTCCACACTATCACTACCATCACCACCACCACCTACAACCACCACCATCACCGATCACTACCACTACTATCATCACCACCGACACTACCACCACCACCACTACCGCCACCAGTGATTCCATCACCACCACTGCTGCCACCAGCGATTCCATCACTACCACCACCAACAAGATCATCACCACCACCGACCATCACCAACACCACCACCACCTCCATCTTTCACCTCCATCACCGCCTAAATTCCTCACCACTGTAGCATATCCAATCGAATTGGAAGCCATTAAGGTCTTGACGCCATCAATATCGCCACCGAAGACCTCCATCACCGTCGTTGGACTATCATTTTTCTTCTTCTCTCCTTTTTTTTTTCTTTTTTAATCTTGATTGTAATTGATAGGATTTTGTAAAGATTGTAATATCTTTACATATTGAACAAATAGACTAAAAAGGTGTCAGCGCTGTTGATTTAATTTCGTTGTTATTAGAGTCAATAGAGTGCAATTTCTCTAGTTTAATTTAGTCTTAGAAGATAAAATTAATTAATTATTTAATTTCTATTTAAATAATAATATTTTATTATTAAAATACTCATCCTAACTATTATCTCACAAACATGTTTATTAAAAAAATTCTATGTATCAACACTTTAAGAAAAGTTAGTGCAAAAAAATGTCACATCATAAATGTGACATGACAAATTTTTTAAAATAAACGAAATATTTTGATTAGTTAAGTTAAAACTAAATAAATCTCATTTTTAATTAAAAAATAGTTTATATCATATATGAATCTATCTATTATTTGAGAAACATGTTTATTAAAAAAATTATATGTGTCAACACCTTAAGGAAAGTTAGTGCAAAAAAATGTCACCTCATAAATGTGACATGACAAATTTCATAAAATAAACAAAATATTTTTATTGGTTAAGTTAAAACTAAATAAATCTCATTTTAAAATAAAAAAATAGTTTCTATCATATATGAATGAATTCTCATTATATAGTAAAAATTCAAAATTATAAATGAAACAAAAAAATAAATAGATAGAAAAATAAATTATAAGTATCCTTTTAGCTAACTTTTATTTATTATAATATTGTATATATGAACAAAATATAGAAGTAAAAGTAAAAACGAATCTTTACGACTTTGGTTTTATGTAAAAATCTCAGGTTATATTTTTGGTTTAAAGCATCTCAAACCCAGTTTTATTTTAAATCTTCTAATTTAGAGGAAAAAGAAAAGTTGTTATTTTTTAATTCAAATTATAGAGGAAAAATTTAAAAAAAAGTTCTTGTAAAATAGAAATATGTTGGAGAGAAGTCCATTTATATTTCAGAGGAAAAAATAGAAAAATACATTGGAGATGATCTTAATGTTTAATATATATTATTAAATGCTAAGGAAAAAAAATTATGAGTCAAAGAAGACAAAATATAAATAAAAATAATTTTGATCGATTTTAAATTTTTATTTAAAATATTTAAAAATATTATCTTACACATAAATCTTCCATGCATATATTTTTTCTAACATATTAAAACATTATTTCATGAATCAAGTTTTGTATATATTGTGATCCATTATTTTTTATATTAAAAAATATGTTAAAGTTAGAAATAGATCAACTCTTAATATTTAAATACAATCGAATATTAAATATATTATTTTACATCTTAAATTATACACATAAAATTTAAGTTTAGATCCGACTGGTTTAAACGATTCGGTTGCAGAGAGTTTGTGTAAGTGAGCGATTGCGGATTATTAAAAATTTGATGAAGAGATGAGCTGAGAGCTACCGAAGAATTTTATAAAATACGATTTCACAAATTTCATAATAATTTTTATTATATTTTCATTGAGAAACCATATATCATCAAACGCTGAAAAATAAGAAACTTTGATTAAATACAAAATGATAGAAATGGTTTTTATGATTGTTGTTAAACACCAATAACTGGATCGTGTAAAAACATAACGTTTGCGAAAATACCAGAAAAAACTTACCAACACCTAAAATATTACAATTCACTTATTTCTAACTCATACCTACATGATAAATATACTTAATTAATATTTTTTTTTAAAATAAATCATACATTATAAAAATATATATTACAAAACATATACTTTGTTATTTTCTTTTAACACATAAAAGCAATACTTCAATTTTCTTACAAATATGGGTGTAGATATAGATGTTAATTGTGAAAGAGTCAAACTCGCATGCAAACTTGTCGTGCATACATTTTGTTAACCTCGATTACACTATAATTTTAATTTTAGTTGTTAGACAATTTATATGTTTTAAGAAATCTTTATATGTCCCAACAATGGTGAGGTGGTTGGTACGCATAAATATGTGGGCCAACCATCTGCCTGCTCTTATGATAAATAAATATGGTAAAATTTATTTTGATTTAATTAGCAATAGGTCAAGAAAAAATGTTAACTTAAAATATATATATTGGCAAAATTATTTTATGTGAAGAGAAAAAGAAAGTATTATATAGATAATATTCAAAAAATATTGTAAGAATTCAATTATTATTTAATATAACTTTTACATTTGCAATTATATTTTACCGTAAATGCTAGAAAAAAATAAAAAGTTTCTAAAAGATACAAAATAATATGAAACGTTTGTATGATTGTTGTTGAACACTAAATTTGTATATGTATAAAAACATAACATTTACATAATATATAAGATAATTAATCAATACTTAAATATTATAACTAATTATGTCTATAAAAAATTATACTTGCACAAGCGTGCACATCAAAAATGAAAATTAAATAAATTATTATATATTTTTAATGTTTTTCCGTTTATTTAGTTATCATATTTACATTTTTCAAGGAAATATTTTAAAATCTTAGTTAATATTTTTTATCTTTATTTTCTATTAATTTATGTAATACTTTATATTTAATTTATTGTTATTTTCTTATTAAATATTCATTAATTTATTATTAATACATAATTAATCATATACAAATAAAATATCTTTAATACTATATTAATCATAATTAAATATATAAAAGCATGCATATGGTGCCTGCCGAGTTTTGAGTATATGAACGATAGAGATGTATTTAGTCTTTTTTTAATAAGAAGTTAGTAAAAATATACCAAAAATAAATTGGATTCTGAAAATTTATTAAATATTAAAAATTTGAAATATTAATCTTTTAAAGTTACAATTAAAGTCACATGCACCTTTACCAAAATGAAAAAGCCCTTCATGAATAAGATGTAATTTAGTTGATTTAGAAATCTATGTAAAGTTTACAAATCTTTGTAAAATTTACTGATTTCGAAATTAATATGTGAATTTTAATTAATATTTGTAAATCTATAGGTTTTCCCATGGATTTCATTTTTTTTTGTAATTTTAGCATAAAATCATTTAGTATGCACTAAAATTTATTTTAAAATTAAATCTACAATTTTAAAATTATATAATCTTTAATATATGATATGAATATAAATTTTAAAATCATAAAACTAATAACTTGTGATTTTAATATGAATTATAAAATAATAGAACTAATAATACTATATTTAATGTAAAATCATAAAACCAATACCCCACATAATAATATAGCCCCCCCCCCCCCCCCCCCCCCTTCCCCCCCTTCCCCCCCCCATGAAAATATATTCAATATTACAAATTTGAAATATTAATCTTTTAAAATTACAATTAAAGTCACATGCACCTTTAACAAAATGAAAAAGCCCTTGATGAATAAGATGTAATTTAGTTGATTTAGAAATCTATGTAAAATTTACAAATCTTTGTAAAATTTACTGATTTCAAAATTAATATGTGAATTTTAATTAATATTTGTAAATCTATAGGTTCGCTTTAATTACTTCCGAAGTAGATAAGATGAAAGCCGAGGACAATACTCGCACGACTCTCGATCATATCTTTCGGATCAAAGTATACTTCGAAAAACTAGGTATTCGATCCTGAATGTTATTTGGTGTAAGACGAGCTAATGAATCTCGCATCCAGCACCGGCCTAAAGAATGCCCACGTACCGCAAGACAAATGAAATTTTTGACTTCGCAAAAACCTTAGAATTAAGGTCTGAATCGTTAAAAAAAAAGAGTACGAAATAAAATAGGTGAATTTTTATTTTTCCATTGATAAATCTTTGGCTTACAAAAAAAAAAACAAACGACAATTACAAAGTCCTACGTCGCTTTGGCAGCCGAATCCCTGCTGCCACTAATTCCGCATCCGAGGATCGCATTTGAACGCGGGAAGGCGCGGCAAAACCGTCTGGGGAAATTGGAGCATCCTTTATATTGTGGCATGCCATCTTCAAACGGTCGGCCGCAGTAGAATGAGTCAAGAACTCTTCAACTGAAATCTCATGCCCTGCCGACCTAAGCTGTTTATAACAATCCGCCCTCATCTTGGCATCGACGATCCGAAGTTCCAGCCGATGAATATCAGGCTCTTGCGCCATGAATTTCTTGATATGCTCGATACGGGGATCATACCATTCGCGAAGGCGCCGATACATTAAATCCACCACGCGATCAACCGAGACATGCTGGTGATCTCGGAACTCTTTTTCTTTAGCAGCCGCGCTCTTAACTTCCTCAGCCACCTTCTTCGTGAGACTCTCCTCGAGAAGTCTTATCTTTTTGGTAGATTCAACATCAAGCGCCTTAAGATCAAGCTCTAACTTGAGCTTCTCGCGCTCAAGATCCTTGATCTTTGCCAAAGCATCACGAAGCTCTCGATCTTTTTCCGACAACTCCTTGGACCTACTTTCCTCTCGAACGGATTCTTTATCGTACGACTCAACCAAAGATGCGCATAAACCTAAACCCTGCATAAAACGTTGCGCCATCCCGGAAAAACAGGCAAACCGTCTCAATTTCTCCACAGACATTCCTTGGTTAGGCTTCGCCCTGCACAACCAAGCCAAATTTGCTGCAAAGTATTCATCGAACATTGCCGGAGAATTCCCGCCCCAACGAAGAAGGAATTCATGAGGATTGAAGCCAGGCTCATCATCAGTCGCCACCGGCCCTTCCGGCGAAACATCTTTCGAGTCCGACGGGCTAAAAGTATGCTCTTTGGCCGAGGCCAAAAACTCTTCCTCTTCAATCGGCACTTTCTCTGCCGGGATTTCTGAAGGTGACCCCTCCGTCACAGGATCTTGCGGTGGATCCTGCAATATGGGCTCCTTACACGGAGCAAAATCAGGGATATCCACATCTAACAAAGGAATTTTGCTTCTTCGCTTCAAACCCATATCGGTGTAGGAGACCAATCTTAGAACAGTATGACAAATCAAGGCAAAAATCTTCTAAAAAAAAAAGGGAGGAAGACGAAGATCTTTTCTAAAAGCAAGAAGATGAAGAGGTAAAAAGTAAAGTATATAAAATCGGAAAGAAATATCAACAGTTTCCTAAGAAGACGCGTGTCAAGATTTTTTACAATCTCGCCGTCTGGCAAACCCTTCGCATTTCCCGCTGAAAAGCAGAAACCCTAATGGGTCGGACTATTTAATAAATAAAAAGCACCGCGTGACAAATCCGCTAAAAATTGAGCCAAACTGGCTATCGCAAAAGCAACGCTCTTGACGAACTGACAGTTATTGCGAGGTCAAACCCATCTATAACTTCATGAAGTCCGCCGACCTGATTTACAATCAGTCTCGCCGAACTGGAGGGGGGGGGGGAGACTTACTGTTAGAGGGGAAATGAGCGCATTTCCTAAAAGGCCTTCCCCGCAATAACCTAAGTCCATCACGACCAGGAAGACCGCGCCAACCTAGCTCGGATTAAAGGAAAACTCTTAAAAGATAATTATGGAAGACCGGAAACATCGGATTAGCCCAAAGAATTATGGAGAATTTCTATATTCTTCGGAGAATAAGGGATATTTCCATATCCGCGATATAAAAATATACAAGAAGGCAAAAAGGAAAAGGAGTTCGGAGTAACCGACCTCTCATTCTTATAAATACAAAGATCCCGAAGCCAGAAAAAACAACTCATACAATCTAGAGAGCAACAGAGCTAAAACCAGAGACTCCAACACTTTCTAGTCTACTTCGCAAACCCTCTTTTCACTTCGGCATAACCTCTCGGTTATACCTTTCTTTGTAATTGCTACGCTTTCTTACTATCAATAAAAAGACCTTATTCTCCGAAACCCACAACTGTTAATCAAATCCTAGTGGTGATTTTCTAGTTCAACAATGACCTAAAATGATGCATCTCTTGTAAATAGTAAATCCGAATCAATAAAACCAAACTACAGACGAGATCATTTCTCTAGAACGAGTCACTTGAGCTATAAATATCCAATAAACAAGTCAAACTCCCATATAACTCTGATCTAAACTAAATACGGATTAATCATAAATTAAGTCTAATCTCCACTTGATCAGAAACAACCAAAGAAATATAAACCACACGACAACATTTTATTGACACATGTCGAGCACACCCAAAACTTAGGAGCACACATGAGAGCTATATAACTTGCATAACCTTTAGGGAAAAACTATTAACTCAATTCAATTGGATAATCACACTTCGATTCGAACAAATATCTTTCTGATAACTAAAGCTATTCAAAAATGTCGAGCAACTCCCAAAACATCAGCTTCCAAGCCGGTCAGGCCAAAGGCCAAACTCAGGTAATCTAAGTTACTTCAAATATAATATCACCACGCATGTAGACATATACTAAAAACTGACATACATTTCGTCAATTTTGTTACAGAATTCAAATCTTTGAAATTTTTGATCTTTTTTTCTAATTAAAGAATTCTAAAAGCTATTTTATGTGAGTTTTTTTTTTATTCAGTTGATCGTTATAGTTTTCTTTTATGAATCGGTTAAGTGTCTTCAGGAAAAGACTTAGGATTATAATGTGGTCCTAGTTTCATCGCTGTTAAAAAAGATTGTAAATGTTTTAGATGGATTTTGGGTCGTAAATACAATCGCAAATCGTTTGATTATGAATTTCATTAATTAATTGGTTGATGGTGTTCAGGAGAAGGCAAGCAACTTAATGGACAAAGCAGGCAATGCTGCACAAGCGTGCAAGGAGTCTCTGCAAGAGGTTCAATAATTAAATTCAATTTGAATGATTTAAATCGCATCAAAATTATTTCTTTCAAAAAAAAAATAAGAGTTCTATTACAAACTTGAAATTAAATCACGTGCAAACACTTGTATAGACGGGCCAGCAGATTAAGGAGAAGGCACAAGGAGCTACCGAATCAGTGAAGAACGCGACCGGCATCAACAAATGAAGACCATATCATATGAATAATGATGCTATTTTCCCCACCAAATAAGACATTTTTTTTTTCATTTCTTGAACCTTAAGATTGGGTTTAGCGGTTTGACTATTCCGACTATTGGAATTTTTTATTTATTATTTTACTACTACTTTGATCTCATGATAATAATGTATTCACTGGGATCCATATTCATTTTTAGACTTCCATCATAAAAATAACACTTTTTTTTTACATATTTCTTTGTTTCTGTTTCCAAATCATTCAAATTCGATGTTGACAAAATTAAAAAAATAATTCAAACTCGACTTAGTACAATGAATTTTCTATAAATTAATATTTAATAAATTAATAATTACTATAAATTAATAAATTTTATCGATTCCAAATTTGTCTAGTGTAAAAATAAAAAAAATCAATAAAATAATAAGATAATAATTTTTTAAAGTCTTATGTAAATACAGTAAAACCTCTATAAATTAATAATATTGGGATTCTCAAATTTTATTAATTTACAGAGTTATTAATTAATCGATAAATTAATAATCATTAATTTATCGATAAATTATAATTATTTTATTAATTTATAGAGATATTTTTAGTTTGAATTTTTAATATTCATCTAAAAAACAAAATCAATATTTTCAACAATGTAAAATTTATTCAAAAATGTCATAATAATGAATTTAGAAGATAAATCAAACTAATTTTATAAACTTGAAACAACAATATTATCATAGTTTACTATATTATATTATTAATATATGTCTAAATATATAATTATTAATTTATATTATTATTGGGACCATATTTTTACATAGAACTTTCAAAAAAGTATTATTTTATTATCTTATCGATTTTTTTCAGTTTTTACACTAGCCCAACTTGGGACCAGCAAATATTATTAATTTATAGTGATTATTAATTTATCGAGTATTAATTTATAGAGGTTCTGCTGTATATGGTTTCAATAATAAAATAACTTAATAATTATATATCTAGATATATATAACTAATGTAATGTAATAAAATATAATTCTACTGATTGTTTCAAATTCATAAATGCTGTTTAACTAATCTTTCAAATGTGTTGATATATATATTTTTAAACAAATTTTACAGTGTTGAAAATAGTTTTTTACTACCTCTTGATAAAATAAAAAATTTAAATTGAAAAATAATTTTGTAAATAAATAAATCATAACATTATTAATCTATAGAAGTTTTACTGTAATATGAAGCTGGTGGCCGAACGCCATTCACATTGTATCACATGCTGCCATATATTGCTTTTAATTAGGACTAGATGATTGGCCCGCACATATGTGCGGGTATAATATTATTGATATACATAGTTAATTATAATATTTAAATGTTGATTAATTTTTTCAAACATTGATATGTTTATATATATATATATATTGTTTTAATATTTCACAAATTTCTTTCTGAAACCAATGTATTTTAAAACTTTTTATTTTTATAATGTTTGTAATAATAAATAATCACAAATATAAAAGTTATATTAAATAATAATAAATTTTTATAATATTTTTTGAATATTTCTATAATATGCTTTACTTCTCCTTACACAATCTACAATATGTTTTTTTGCGTCTTACATAATATGAATTTGCAAATACATATATAATATATTTTAATTATATATTTTTCTTGATTTATTGTACATTAAACTGAAATAGTTTTTACTATTTTTACTTATTCGTAAGAGCAGATAGATGGTTGGCACGCATGTGCGGACATACAACCACTTCACTACACTTAGAATAGATAAAAAAAATTTAAAATATAAATTGTATAATAATAAAAATAAAAATTAGACTGTAATCAAACTTAACAAAATACATGCGAACTTTTTAAGTTACTTCAACTAATGCATAATTAATATTTATGTTTGTACGCGTATTTGTAAAAATTTTTAGATATAGCTCTTATGTGTTAAAAAGTTTTTAAGTGACTTTGTAAAAAAAAGTGCAAGAGATATATTTTTATATACTTCTATTTTTATTTCTTATTCATATTTATTTCATCTTATTTTAATTTATTCTTTCTTTCGATTACGTTTTATTTCATTTATGATCTCAAATTTTGATATACAATGAAAATAAATAAATATATATATATATATGTGTGAATATGATATAAAATTTTATTTTTATTTAAAATATGATAAAAGATATGATGAGATGGTAACATAAGTTATGTACATTTTAGAAAACAACAATAAAAGATGATAAAAGTTATAGAAAAATATATGGTCCTATTAATGTTATCAAATAATAATTAGTATATACTTTATTCATTTAGTAAATACTGTTTTGAAAAGAAATATTATTTTAAATTACATTTTAAAAAAAAATTCAATAAAAGTTAATTAATTTTTATTATTTTAAACATTCTATTCTTTAAAATTTTTTTATCATGATTGTATTTTATCTAAAATTGTATTATTTAATAATTTGTTTATTTAAAACTCTTTTAGATGTTATTACTATATTTTGTAAATTAATATCTTTCCAAAATAAAAATATATCATACTTCAAGTATTATTAATATATAGAATTTGTAGTATTCTATTGTATATTTAGTATTATTTTTTTCTTTTATATGAAGTTGAAAAAATTTCGTAGTTATATTTTATGAAATTATGAATATATGTAAAAAATAGAAATTTTAATAATTATTATTTTCTGTTAATTTAAATTTGTTAATTTTAGTGTTATATCTAGTGTTTTTATGTTTTAGTTTTACAATTACTTTAATTTTAGTTCAACCAATCAAAACATTCTATTTATTTTAGGAAGTTTGACATGTCATATTTACATGTTATCAATTAAAAGCACTAACTTTGGCTGTAGTGTTGACAAATCAGCTATTTTCAGTAATGTTACTTCTCAAATAATATGTTGTGGAATGGAAAATAAATGAAAATCTAACCACATTTACATCTGAACCAATTAGTTTATTTAATTGGAAAAAATCGAAACCAACTCCAAACTAAAACTAGTGTACCGAAATATGAGCCAAATAAACCAAAATTTATCAAATTTGTACATTGTAATATACTTCATACTGTACTTATATATTAAATATAAATGATATATGTAAGTATAATTTGGTGGTCTAAAGTCTTGTGTAAAACTCGATAGAATAAGACAAATGTATCAACACAAAGGATCTAAGATTGGTAAGACAAGAGAGAAAGAATCTCTTAACAAATGCTCAAGAAAGAATAAATCCGTTTGGGACAAAACCTCAGAAGGAAACTTGGCATCTATAAAAGCTCAAAAAGAAACTTGACATCTAAATATTGTGCAAAACTCTCACTTTTTGCTAAAACCATATAAAGTAAATAACCTCCACAAATTGTAGAAAAAAACGGTGGAAGAGGGAAGATTTAATTTCAATATCAACGAGGCAATGAGTATGATTAGTGATTCGATGGTCCCGGTTCACCCCAGTTTAGAGAACTTGAACTCTCCGGTTTTCTCTAAGATTTGTGCATGGGGGATAATGTTAGGGCTCATTGCGGTTTCATTAATCGCCATGGCTTATGCTTGCTATTACAAGCAAAATACTTCGAATTCAAGCACTGGAGAGCAAGAGAGACCTAGAAAGAAGGAAGCGTTGGAGCCACTAGACATGGAACCAAAGATCGTTGTCATAATGGCCGGTAACGAAAACCCTACCTTCTTTGCCAAGCCAAGCAAGATCCATGCATGACCAATTGACCAGTACAATGAAATTTGCTTTCTGCAAGGACATCTATCAGTATTACGCTCAATCAGTCTGATTCATTGAAGCTTGCATAGCAAAGGGTGGCCGGCCTTGTTTGGTTTAAAGCGTTATTGTATTTGGCCTTTAATTGCTGGATTTATGATTCATCTATCGGTTTCTCTGTTTATTTTTGAATTTAAACATAAAAAGAAATGTGATCGATTTGTACACACAATTATAGATTAATTTTGGAAAATTATTATTAAAATATATATAGTAGTAACATGTGTATACATAATACATACTTTTGAATGATGACCAAAAAGAATGAGTAGGAATCCTGGTTTCCTCTTCATTCCTAAGAAATTACGCTAATTGCAAGTAATTTTTTTAGACATAATTTAATTTTCATTTTTTATAGAATATTATAAAACAAAAATATTTTCCACCAAATTAATTTGGAGAAAAATAATAAGGAAAAAAGATATTGACAATTAAAAAACCAAATTATAACTAAATGAATAAAACATAGTTTTAATAATAAATTAGTCTAAATGAATAAAACTTAGACATGAACTTATTATTATGGTTGGATTTACCGCTGACGTGTTATTCTTTGATAAGACGTAGTAAAAATATATTTAATAATTACCTCCAGTTTTTCGATTGGTTGGAAACAAGTCAAAGAATCGATTCTTACGTTGTTTTTGTAAAACATTCAATCATTTCTTTTGATACCCGAAGGTTTTGGTGAGTTCGATACCGCATTAGAACGGTTCACCCCTAATTTTATCGTGCATTTCCGAAGAGTACAGATCTAGCCAAGGTGAAAAGGGTACCACGTTTACGGAGAAACAGTTAAATGAGTTCTACACCAGCTCATGCATGCTTCCCGTAAGAGTACACACTTGTCCATAATAGGAAGAAGTTAGGTTCTAAAAAAACAGTTGAGCCCACAGATGAGCATTTCCCCGAATGGATTTTACTCCTTACTTCGTGAGGCACTAGACAAAGAGCCATCTTCCTTCCCCATTGACTTTATGAGAAAGTTATAGTCTTATGTGATCATGGAGATTGACATAAGATAGCAACATGATTTGAGACACCTACCCAAGAACCACAAACGATGCCTTGAGAGGGAGAAAGTATTGTCCCCATGCACGAGTCGCTAACATAAGGGGGAGCCGTTAATTTTGTGCAGCATGTGCGAGCCAGCTAGTGGCAAACAGGATGTTTTCCGGAGGCATTACCCTAACTCCCTTACTGCTAGAACAGTCTTCGCTTTGTGCTGGTTCTAGAATCGTGATTGGATCTTCCTCGGAAGGAGAGACCAGAGTGTTTTGGACGAGAGATCTCGGAAGAAGCGGTCTCAACTTCCGATGGTGCTCTGGAAGGCAAGCATGTCCCCAAAGGAAGCACACTAAAGAGTTGCAGGGTCTCTAGAGGGAGCTGGCGAGGAAGATCCAGAGGTCTGCGGGACCGGAATCCCAAATTCCTAGAGGAATGGTGCCCCGGAGGGCAAGAAAGTCTGCAGGGGAACATGTTATTTGAAATTCGAATGATGAGTTTTGTTGGTAATTCGAACCAAAAGTTTGATGCCTCTAAAGGGTGAGATAATGCAAACTGGGAATCACACAAACATGCAACCAATAAATCACGCAAAAGATCAAACAGTCACACAAGTAGAAAATCACCCAATTATGCATACATTCAACTATTCAAAAAAATAATTAAATGGACATGCATGCTTGGGGGAAAGATGGCCAACTGGCCTATGACGATTGCCCATGTAGGCTAAGACCATCTTAGTGGGTTATCTATCCCTGCAAAGTTTAGAAGTTCATACCATTGCGTCGTGATTCCCTTGGGTTGAAAATGACCATTTGGTGATGCTCTTGGAATTTTATCGATCCCACATTGTCTTCCGGGTCGGGCGTCGTGGCGTTCTTGGCCGGGATGGCTTTTCTCATCCGGACAGGACTCTGCTACAGTTTTTGGGGCAATCCTCATCTTTCGGTGCGGCAAGCGATGTGGCGAATTTTTGTTCTCTTGCCCCATGAGAAGTAGTGTCACACTAATTTCCTTACTTCTCATGAACTTGCGCTTCACCATTTCCCTATATTAGGACGCATCATGTCGCATGCCCCATTTAAGAGACGTCTTTTTGATGCACGACTTGAGGCATGGTTAATTCCAACCTTGAACATTGGTTCTTACCACCTCTCAGTTTTAACCCGGAAGTTGCAAATGTCTCCTCGTCTCTTGCTGCATCTATAAAAAGGTAGAACGACAGATTTCCTTTCACTCCATGTTCGAAGCAAACCCTGCTCACTCTTTCTCTTCTTTTCTTTTTTTCACCGGATTTATCGTCTTTGTTTGGTCTCATTAAGATGGCTGATGAGGATTCTGCTTCTTCTGATGCCGAAGCGCGACTCGTTAGGCGTCGGTCACTCTCAGCTTGTTTTTAGTTTCTATAGGTCGCTTCCAGGCTTAAGGACATTTTTTTCTGGTTCTAGGGGTTGGACCAGCCGCAAGCGTTCCCGCCATTTGAGGCGCAAGCGTTCTCTCCAGACGAGTCACTCCCTGCGGTCCCTCCTTCCTTGTACTCTACAATGCCACCTTCACGAGGGGCCTGCAGTCGTTTTAGGTCCCTTACTGTCAGACTTGGGGGCAGGTTCTTTCCCTGGGGAAGCCTAGAGTTCTCGGTGTAATGGGCATGTTTGTTCCACTGATCTGATCATTGACGGTCTGGCAAAGGTGATCAGATTGGTGGTGTACCTCCGGGACTCTCTTATGTGGGCACATAAATGAGAGGAGAGGGTCCTGGAGGAAATACAAAATATGCGTCCCATAGTGGGTTCTCTGGACGAACCAGGCGGTGATCTCTCCATTGCTGGGAGGTCACCCCATGTTCCCATCTGGGCATTGGGATTCCTTCACTTGAAGAGCGCTTCAGCACGGAGTGCCGCCGGGTCGATTCTCTCACAGCGGAGATTTGGACGCTCCGAGCGCATGATCTCACTCTTTAGCCAGGCGGCCCGGGCCGTGCGGACAGCTCGTGAAGGTCTGTCGGTTGGGACGATGTCGAATGATGATGGCGGACGACATAGAGAAGAACTGGATCTTTTGGACAGTCTGAAGGAGAGCACAGTTCTGGTGGCGGATCTTTAGGCTGCCAACACGGAATTGCGAGGCGAGCGATCTAAGCTCCGGGCACACATCCAAACCATGGAGCTTCTAGAGGTGCCAAAAGGTTGAGCCCAGTCTGGAGATCTTACGGTGATTCATGCTGAACCGTCGCTGGGTCCCCTAGAAGCAGAGGTGGTGGCTGAGGAGGTGACGCCTTTATGCTCCCATATCGCATTCCTTGGGGCTTGTTTGCCCTGAATGCTAGCAAAATATAGTCTCATGCGCAGTGACTTGTCTCTGGCTGCGATCTTCTTATGATGTTTCCTTCTCGGCTTATTCCATTTTGGTCGGCTTCACTCTTCCGGGGGTTCATCTTCAGGGATTTTGCTTCCTTTCTGTATTTTCTCCATCCGCTGCATGGCATGTGCAGTCCTTTGAGTCTTTTAATAGGAATCTTGTTGTAGTCCTTGTCCCTTAGGGGTTCATTATATGAATAAACTTAATTTTCTTCATTGTCTTTCTTCATTCCTGTATTATGATGGCTCTTTAGAATGTTTTGGTTCACGCCTTCACCGACTCTCATCGAACTTAGTTTCCTTTTGATAATGGACTGGCTCCTTAGGCTCATGAGCGACAAATTAAAATGCCCCTGACTGCCTTTTAAGTGACTTCTCAACCGGAACATATTTTCCTAACACGTTGTGATTTTGAGGAAGGGACGAGCCACTAAATGCACTCATCGGGACCTTCTTTCCCCCGGAAAAGAGTTTCCCCTTTCAAAGGTTCTCTGACGGTTAAGTTAGATTATGCCCTACTGGAAAAAAATACTCATGAGGGTATGTAGATTGTGATGGTTTACGGTTTGGATACTCCATCCGTGGATCGTGTTACCCATTTGCTTTTTGGTGATAGAGGGACGTGAGATGAATGGACCATTGAGAGAGTGAGGTTGGAGCTCTCTCTCGATGGAGGATAAAGCAGAGGTTGAAGGAAGAAGGAATTGCTTATCTCAGTAGGTGTTTCTTCTGGGAAACGTTGAGCGTGTCCCTTCTATTTCTGTTGTTAGGTCTGTTTGGTTGATCAGGTTCCGGCGAGGGTTCGGTGCTTCGGTGGTATATTCTCTTTAATGGCGTGCATCCACTCTTCTCTATCAGTGAGTCCGATCTTTTTCTTTTAGGGTTGTTTGCCGTTTGGCTCTCCGGTCGTTCGGCCATTTAGCCGTCCCCTTCTCTCTTGGCTTCCTCTCCCTATGTATACATCTTTCCCTCTGATCTGTTCCATCCGAGCGGCGCTTAGAGGGAGTAGGTTGACTTGGGAAGTTTGCTTACTACCGAAGAACAGTTGGCTAAGAAGTGGCTGGACAGACTTAAACAAGGAACTCATTATTACGAATGGGGTTAGTGTTGATGTAACTCTTTAATAGGGCATAGTGAAAGTAGGACCAATCTTAAATATTATTTGACAAACATGTTAAGTGAGAAAATTTGATGTGTCATAATGAAAAAAAAAAAGTAAGTGCATTTTAATGATGACCTGAAAATTTGGTATGGCAAATTTTCTAAAATAAACAATTTTTTTTTATTAGCTGAATTAAATACTAAAGAAATTATAAACTTATAACATAAAAACACTAGATTATACAGTAAACCCTCTAAAACGGCAAACCTTGTTCTCAGGTGTTCTCTCTCAGGCCCGCTCCCCTAGACAGTAGCAGCCGAGTTAAGATGAGCCCATTCCGCTGCAGCTCCGTCCTTATCTCCCCCTCTTCCTGAAGATCCTTGTCCTCATTTCCTCCTTCCTCCATAAATTCGGTGGTAACCCATCTTCCTCAATCGGGGCTAAGGCCTCTCCCAGATCCGCCACCGGGTAAGTCTCTT